AGGTTTTAGCACTTAGCGGCAACCCCATCTCTGAGAAGCTACGACACCCGTAGATGCTTCCATAGTCTCTTTACAGTCTATTCTAGGTGGCACCATTCTGGGTCTTCTTATTTGGAACTGGATCAAAATCTCTATGGCCCTGGCTGTTTTAATTTCTTCTTCTTCTTTTTTTTTTAATTTCCTGCCCAGCTGCATTTTTCTCTTTTGTTTATTTATTTTATTGAGTTATACCTTTTTCCCCACTCCCCTTCCCTCCTCCCCTTCCAACTTCCATCCCTATCCTCCAGGTTCCCAATTTACTCAGGAGGTCTTGTCTTTTGACTTCAGGATCAATCAATGACAGACACCCGAGGCCTAGGGGCTAAAGGCATGAGAGACAGTTGCCATCAGTCCACCACAACCACATGGGAAATCTTCATCCAAGACAGGAAAAAACAAAAAGTTGCTGGCTGAGAATATGTGATGAGTGAAGAAAGAAGGGCATTTATCACCATGTCCTCTATTGAGAGTGGGCCAAGACCAGGATGTTCAGATAAGGACTATCTGGAGGGGCCCTGACTCCTTCTTAGGCGTATGGGAACTGGACCAAACTGGTGTTATCTGCATGAGAACCTGCCTCCTGTGCCTATATGAAATCAGTTGTTCCTTGATATGCTGGTCACTGAAGGTCAGAGCAAGCTAACAATGCCATTTTTAAAACTCCTTTCCCCGTAGGAATCTATATGGTGAAGTTGTAACTGGCCTGGAAGAAATGAGTAAATTCTTTTTTTTTTTTTTTAAGATTTTATATATTTATTATGTATACAACATTCTGCTTCCATATATATCTGCGCACCAGAAGAGGGCACCAGATCTCATAACGGATGGTTGTGAGCCACCATGTGGTTGCTGGGAATTGAACTCAGGACCCCAGGAAGAGCAGTCAGTGCTCTTAAACCTCTGAGCCATCTCTCCAGCCCGAAATGAGTAAATTCTAATAAGACACTTGTTTTCCCTCAATCTGACTTTCAGACTATTGAAATGATGAACTCTAAGAAACTGGAATTTTCCTTAGCAATCTCCTGCTGGGAGAAGGAAAAGGCTGAAACCTGGCACCAGACAGTGGGAAGAAATCTCCCAGAAAAGAGATTTCTCACAGTTTTAATCACATGGTTCCAATAATTTCACAGACCACCTAGCAGGATGGCACTGAATTTCAGAGCAAAGCAGCTTTTTTTTTTTTCTTTTGGTTTTTTCAAGACCGGGTTTCTCTGTGCAGCTTTGGAGCCTATCCTGGCACTCTCTCTGGAGACCAGGCCGGCCTTGAACTCACAGAGATCCGCTTGCCTCTGCTCCCGAGTGCTGGGATTAAAGGCGTGCACCACCAACGCCCGGCTAAAAGCAGTCTTATTTTCAATGTTTTTAAAGCATTTATCTTGGACAGTGGCACAGTGGGTGTGTGGAATCAGAGGGCAACCCACTGTGATGGGCTCTCTCTCCACCATGTATCACAAGGGATCAAACTCAGGCATCAAGCTTGGTAGCAAATACCTCTATCCACTTAGCCATCTCACTGCTCCTTTTTTTTTTTTTTAATTTTAATAGTACCTGAAAATATTCTGAGATAGATAGGGTAAGTTTTTAGAGGTATATTTCTCTTTGTTGTGATTCAATTTGTAAGACAAAACATTTGCTTACCCCCACCCCAAGGTTTGGTCATTCATTTGTTACTCTTAAAAGAGTTTTGATTGGACTCAGACTCAGAAATGGAAGCTCTTACTGAGGACAGCCCATGCTTCTTGGCAATCTATTCCTGGCATTTTCAAAATTATTTTTACTTGGCTTATTTTATTCTCTTGAACAAAAGTTTGGCATACTCCTCCGCTTTCTCCTTGTTTTTCTTAGTGTGTTGGTTCTTCACAGCGATACATCAGCATGTGTGTTGCAGGACACATGGAATAATAAGATGCTGAATCTAGCGTGATTTGGTCCTGGGCTTCTTACTTTCTTTGAGGGCTTTCTGACAACATAACAGTGGACAGCATCTTCTTTAGAGAGACTGAATGTTTTTTGGATTCTGCTAGCTCTTTTGGGCCCCAATTGTCAAGGCACAATAGTAGTATCTGTAAGTTCTACAAAATGGAAACAACAAAGCAAACATCAAATTCTAAGGTCCCATCGCTCCCAGAGAGCTCACCATGGCAGTCGTGCTCATTGCAGCCTCTATGGCTCACAGATTGCGAGATGCCAGGCAGGGACTATTGGCCCCATTGTTTGGGGCCTGCAGCAGATGATGGCAGGAGAGTGTGGTAGAACTCACAGTCAGAAAGCAAAGGAGAAAAAGGAAGGAGCCTGGATCTGATGATCCTCTTTAAAGACAAACTCCCGAAGGACATCTGTGCCTGTTGGGTTCGCATCTGACAGAGCATTAATTAGAAGAGTTTATCTTACCTTGGAGTTTCAGAGATGGCAGTATATGATCAGCTGGTTCCACTGCTGTGGGTTCGAGGCAAGGCTAACACAGCATGGCAGGGAGCATGTGGCAGAGAAGATGCCTGTGCTGGCGAGGAAGTAGAGGAGACTGGAAGGACCCAGGATCTTTCCAGGCCATGCCCCCTAAGGAACCTTCTTCTTCCAGCTAGGTCCCACCTCTCAAAAATGATACCATGTTATGAATCTACCAAGAAATCAATTCATTAATAAAGTCAAAACGCTCAGCATCTAATTCCCAATACCCCATCAGCTGGCAACCAAGCTTTTAACACATGCTACCCATTCTAGTTTGGTTTCTGTTGTTGTCATGGTGATAAACACCGTGATAAAAAGCAACTTGGAGAAGAAAGGTTTCTTTCAGCTTACAGGATATAGCCCATCATTGAGAGAAGCCATGACGGGAAGTCAAGGCAGGAGTTTGAGGCAGACACAGTGCAGGGATGCTTACTTGGCTCCCTCTTCCTGGCTTGCCCAGCTACTTTCTTGAGAGGTTCTAGCAGGGGAGCGCAGCTACTCATATACCCTTGCTTGAAGACCTGTCCTAGGGAGGGATTCTCATGGAGCAGTGAGGAAGGAAGGGGACACCAGCCTTGCCAGCCAGATCAGCTGAATCAACCCTGGTGATCAATGGGGTGACAGATGTCTCAGTCAGATAACCTTCACATCATCAGCTAGCTTTCTTATATTGCTCAGTCCAACCTTTCTAGGGATGGGACCACCCCCAGTGGGCTGGGCCCTTCTACCTCAACCACAATCATGATAATGCCCCACAGATAAGTCCACAGCTCAATCTGATGGAGGTAATTCTTCAGTTGAGGTTCTCTTACTTCAGGTGTGTCAAGCTGACAACATTAGCATCACAACCTCTTTGGAAGGATATTTCATATCCAGGCAATAATAATCTCCCTTGTGCTCTGCCTCTCACAGGTTTTAGCACCTCCCCATAGAACTTTCTGAGCACTAAGCCTTTAACAGGCAGATATTCAATATCCAAACTACGATAAGTGGAAGTAAGGTTTCTCTGGCCAGGCATGGTCACATATGGTCAGGTACTAGGACAGAGTCCTAGTACTCAGAAAGTGGAGTCAAGAGAACCAGGAATTCAAGGTCATCCTTAAGAATATAGTAAGTTCAAGGCTAGCTTTGGGTTATGTGAGATTCCATTTCAATAAAACAAGACAAAACACTTCTCTGGTTTAAATTTACAGTTCTATAGTTCTCTGGTTTAAATTTAGTTTTGATCTGGACTTCTCCAAAGGTTTACATGTTAAGGGTATGGTCCTTAGCTTGGTATGACTGAGAACTTGTGGAAAATTTAAGAGGTAGAACATAGTGGGAAGTTTTAGGGAATAGGAATATGACCTGAAAGGGATTATGGAACTCTGTTAGAACATAGTGGGAAGTTTTAGGGAATAGGAATATGACCTGAAAGGGATTGTGGAACTCTGTTGTCTCTGTTGTCTCTGTTGTCTCTGTTGTCTCTCTCTCTCTCTCTCTCTCTCTCTCTCTCTCTCTCTCTCACACACACACACACACACACACACACACACACACACTTCACACACTTTCAGTCATAAGGTTAAGTAGCTTTCTCTGCCACATATACCTACTGTGATGGATTGCCTTGCTGCAAGCCCCAAAAGTGGTGGGCTGTGGACCATGGACATTCCAAACTGAACCTAAAATACACCTTTCATCTTTTTGTTTTGTTTTGTTTTCCGAGACAGGGTTTCTCTGTGGCGTTGGAGGCTATCCTGGAACTAGCTCTTGTAGACCAGGCTGGTCTCGAACTCACAGAGATGCGCCTGCCTCTTATCTTTCATCTTTTTAAGTTGATTAACTTGGGTGGTTTGCTAAAGTATTGGAAAACCGGCTACTACAAATGCACAAATGGTTTGTCTTTTAAATGTCTTGACAAGTAGGGATTTTTTGGGTGGTGGTGCTAGAGATTGAACCTAGGAACTCATCCATGTAGGTATGTTCTCTCATTGAGATATATCCCCAGACATAGATATGTTCTCTCTCATTGAGATATATCCCCAGACATAGGTATGCTCTCTATCATTGAGATATATCCCCAGACACTAATTGGTTTCTCTCTTGAGTCCATAGTTCATTTCAGCTCCAGAAGGAAAAAATAAAGCAAAGTTGTTGTAATGTTCTAAAAATGAAGCAAAAATTTAAACCAGAGGTGTGCTTATACTGTAACCACTATTTACATGTGAGACCCAAACAATTAAGAAGGAGATGGAGTTGGAATTCTGTCTAGTAGAGCACTTGCCTAGCATATGCTAGGCCCTGAGGTTAATCTTGGAAAAGGAAAACTAGCTTGGCATGACTGAGAACTTGTGGAAAATTTAAGAGGTAGAACATAGTGGGAAGCTTTTATAAAGAAGAAATATTTTAAAGGATCAAAAGAATCAAGCTCTCCAATGAGGAAACAATGCTCTCTGTCAAAACTCAAAGGACTTGCAACACAGGGTAAAAGACAAATGGTTTCCTCATTGCACACAAGCATTGTTCACTACTTGCAATTAATTAAGCTGACCAGGTCCCTTTCCCAGTGGGGGGCCTGGTGTGCAATGGTTGCAAACAGCAGCCTCCTTGGTAGTGTATGCAGCCTGCTGCCTAGGTGGGCTGCCCTAAGGGACCTTGGAGACACTTTTCTGGCAGTTATCCAAGTCTCTGAACTTAATACTGTTCCCAGTCTAGGCTCCAGACAGGTAGGTAGGCGTGGTGCCTTTGGAAAGCCTCAGGGCACAGTGGCAGAGTTCACACTGGCCAGGTCATCATGTCCATCCCCACCAAGCTGAAGAATAAGGAATATGTGATTGAGACTCTTCATGGAGCCAAGTTCAAGCTCTCTGGCCACCAGAAGATCCACATCGCAGAGAAGTGGGGCTTCACCAAGTTTAATGAAGATGACTTTGACAAGGTTGCTGAGAAGCAGCTAATTACTGGTGGCTGTGGGGTCAAATATATCTCCAGCTGTGGTCCCCTGGTCAGGTGGTGAGCCTTGCATTCCTGAGGGTTCCACAATGCTTTCCTGTACCCTACCAAATCATGCTCACATCCCATCTGAAAACAAAACAAAACAAAACAAAAACAAACATCAAAAGAATTGTTATGAGAGTCATCTGAGGCCAGGGATCTGCTCACCGGATCCGAACTCAGCAGCGAGATCCAACACAACTGGACACTGCTGAGGCCCCGGTAACAGTGCCACCTCTATCCACGGAGAAGAGGCCAGACATCAGAATATTGGATCTGTTTGCATCTACCAGAAGGGAACCTTGGTCCCATAACCACCAGGAGAGGAAGAGACTCCTGCTACACCCACCAGAAGAAAGGATGAGAAGAGGACAATATAAAAGCACATTCAACAACAGAATATGACACCACCGGAGACTAGGAACCATACACAAGTAAGACCTGAACATCACAATTCGGATGAAGCAGAAGATAATGACCTTAAAAACATCTGCATGAAAATGATAGAGGACCTCAAAGAGGACATGAGAAAATCCCTTAAAGAAATGGAAGAAAAAAACAAAACAAAAAATACAAGATGAACAAAGAGAAAACACACTGCATACATGTATGGAAATTTCAAAGAATAAATTTAAAAAAAATTTAAAGAACACTGAAACGATTAACCTAAACAAATCTTTCTATCCCTAGAAGTTGTTTATCTCAGGTGTTTTGTCATGGCCGTGGAAAGCTTCAGAAGAATTACAAGTAATTTCTGTAAACTTTCCCTCCTCCTGGAAGTATTAAGGCCCTCCCCTCACTTTGAACAGGGGCTGTATGGGTGAGCCGCTTCCAAGGAGTAGAGTCTAGAGGAGAAAATACAAGAAGCCTACAGAACACCAAATAGACTGAACCAAAGAAAAAAGGTCTCCTCCCCACATAATAATCAAACATCAAACATACAGAATAAAGAGAAAATATTAAGAGCAGCAATGCAAAAAGGTCAAGTAACTTATAAAGGCAAACCTATCAGAATTACACCTGACTTTTCCATGGAAACTCTGAAAGCCAGAAGGTCCTGGATAGATATTCTACCTAAACTAAGAGACCATGGATGCCAGCCCAGATTACTATACCCAGCAAAGCATTCAATCAATATAGATGGAGAAAATAAGATATTCCTTGACAAAACCAGATTCAAACAATACATATCCACCAACCCAGCCCTACAGAAAGTTCTGGAAGGAAAACTGCAACCCAAGGAAGTTAACTACAACCAGAAAATTATAGGCAATAGATAATCCCACTTTACCAACAGCCAAAAGGAAAAAGGGATAGAATCCCACACATTATTTCACCACCATCACCAAATAAAAAACAAACAAGAATGAACAATCAATGGTCATTAATATCCCTCAACATTAATGGTCTTAACTCACCTAC